CCCTCCCCTGTCACGGCAGAGTGCTGTGACAGGATCGAGAAGTGAGCGAACGCCGGTATGTGTTCGCTCACTTCCCGATCTGAGCCGACCTGTGACAGTTTCATTGTCACAGGTCGGCTAGAACTATGAGGTGAGTGAAAAGCACTCACCTCATTGTTCTCCTTTAAGGGCTTGTTCACACTATGTTCAGACCAGAACAGTTTGTTCCCGGACCAAAAAAACATCCCAATGTATCCCTATGGTATTTCTGGGCTGTGTTCACACCAGAGCAGTCTGATCCGGTCCAGACAAAAAAATACTGCTTGTCTCCCTTTCTCTGGTCTGGAACGCATGTAAACACATCAAAAACACATGCAAACGCACTGGCCTATGTTCCAGTGTGGGTGGGAGGCATGTCTGCAGCGCCATTGACATGAATGGAGCCACCACGCCCCCTCCCACCCGTTGTGCCTGCCTGATCTGTGGCACAAGAATGTTTATACAGGTGGGACTTGTGGGAGGGGCTTGTATATGGACGGAGCACAAGGGGGCCCCATAACCATGTATTGCCCGGGGGCCCCATGTGTTGTCAGTCCGCCCCTGGGCCTGCACCTGAAAGCCCCCAAAAAGCACCGGAACACCGCAAAAATGCACTGCACTTCATTTGCAGATCTGCTCCAGATCTGGTCCTGACATGGTGTGAACATAATGTCAGTGAGCAGAAATTCATCTGTTAGAAGCTGTTATTTATATCTGACTTGCAGTGCTTTTGACCTTTTTGAAAATTGCCCTTTTCAAGGATGTTTTTCATTGGCTGTACAAATAAATTAAGGTGATCACCATGTGCTATGTATGGAAAGGACTGTGGGAGGTAGGTTTACTGTGTTAATAACACTTATTTCCCAGCTACAGCAGCTGAAAAATGTGCCCAGAACGTAGTTTACCATTGGCTCAATATTTATGGTTTGATCACTTTTTTTTTTTCTTTCTTGAATGTATTAGTTGCTGCAAATGGTGGCCCTTTAGTCATTGCAGTGACTAATTCCATTTACAAAATAATGCAAGCTGGAGGTATTAAGTGCATGGATCAGAAACATTGAGCTAATGGTACCTCTGTGTTCCAGTCTTGGATCTTGGGAAATGACAGCACAGAGAGAAGTATAATAACACTACTCTTACCTTCTGCCGTCTTTTCCATAGATAATCCATGGAGCTCTCATTTGGCTTTCTCTACTCCTACAACACAAGCATCGATAATAGTAGAGGACATTAGAAAAAAGTGCACTCAATTTGTACTTTTTCTCAGAGCATATCGTGTGTGTGTGTGTAACTAATTAGATTGTCACTGAAATTTTTGTTTAAAAATGGCTAGGGGTAGGAGTATTTGTCAGGTTCATGTTTCCATGCACCAAATGTAGGTGAAGCCTGAACAAATGTTTCCTTTGTTTACACAGGATATGATGTCATATTCGAACTGCATGTGGTGTTTGGTCTCATTTCCTTATCTCTGCTTTTTCTATAGAATCACCCAAATGAAATATTTTGCAATCAAAAAACATATTATCCTCTGCATGCTGACACTCTGGCACAGCAGGTTACTGTGATGAGCAGGTATTGTGTTTCGAGTGCAACACTTCTGCAGATCGAGGAAGAGTTGGAAGAAGAGGATCGAGACATGATATTCTTTGCTTGTCGAGACATCACATCTCAGACTAATATCCGGGAGCTGTTAAGCGAATTAAATGAAAAAAGTGTACCTGGAATGGTTGAAGCGTTATGGCTGGTGAAAAGGTTCGATCTGCTGAAGAAATATCTAAAGATGACAAAAAATGAAGCTGAACAATTGATAAAGAAACAAAGCAAAGTCATTTCAGATTTCAGGTAAGCCTTTTATAGGGCCATTTATTGCTATATAGTGTTTTCTGAGCAGAGCATTTTCTGCATTGTATTTTGATTATCTTTGTACTACCTCACTATACAAGCCGGTGTAAAGAAATGAGGCAAAGGCTAATTTGACTAATGTTTAGAGTTGACCTCCAGGGTAAGAAAATATCGTCTACATACAGAGCCATGTGTATTCTTAAATCTTGCTGTGCTTTCTGTCTTTCTTTTAGATCTGTGCAGTCATTAAGTGTGAAACTTAATTCACAAGGTAATAGAGACCAATCACTGCTCATCTCTCTTAACCCTTTCGCTGCCACCAACGTAAGGCTTACGGCGGAACACAACCGCTTGCAGCTGGACACGTCAGTAAGCCTTACGTTGGTGGCTTTCACCCTTCTGCTATAAGCTTAAGCGACCATGAGCTTATATCAGAACGGTCCCCCCAATGGTCCCCTGTAAAATAATAGCTGTCATCAGCAGCTGACAAGCCGCTGATGACAGCTAATAACAAAAATTCCAGGTGCCCCTGCCAGCATCTGAGAGCTTCTCCTGTCCCAAAGCCGCACCATGCTGGGATCTATTTCTCCTCAGATCCCCACTGCTCTCCCCTGCCTGTATGGGCTGTGGCAGCCGGTATCCGAGGAGAAAATGACAGCTGAAGCCGGCGGGGGGCGGAGGACGGAGCAGCTTTTCAAGATGGCCGAGCGGGAGGAGAGGAGCAGCAGCTGTCATCAGGATGGCCAAGCAGTTCTGTGATGTGTGGCCGAGCAGAGGATCTGTAAATGTGTGATATTTACCGATACTCTGTGTGCAGCACAAACACTAGAGTGATCGCCGATCACTCCAATGTTTGTAAACAACTGGGGACACATAGTAGTATGTGTCCGCAGTTATGAATGAACAAAAAGTGCTTTACATCACTTCCTGTTCATTCATGAGTTTCTGAAGTGGTAGAAGTAACTCGCTACAGAGGCTTCTACCCATTCATAACTGGTTGATAGTAAATACATACTATCTCCAGTTTGTGAATGGGAAGCCTCTGTACTTTGCATTCATTCAGAGTGCTTTCCATTCATTCAGAGGATGCAGAAAAAGAGATTGAGGCCCCCAAAACTTAAAAAAAATGTAAAC